CTCCGGATCCGGTTTGCTGCGTTTGGCCAGGTCCTCATTGTGAGCCTTGCGGATGTGGCGGTACAGGTCCCCTGACTGCGTGTAGCTGCGCAGGCAGTACCGGCACTCATAGGGTCGCTCACGTGTGTGCACTGTGGCATGGCGCCGTAGTGTGTAAGAGCAAGAGAAGGTCTTCCCACATGTCTTGCAAGTGGGAACATCCTCAGTAAAAACACCGAAGCTTCCTGGGGCTGGTTCATACTCAGAAGGCAGGTAAAGTGGCTCATGCAGGGTTGTGGGTGCAGGCAGGGGTGGGGTCACCATTCCTCGCTGATACTGTGCTGCACCTGGCACCAAATGGTAGGGTAGGTGAGAGTCTGGGGGCAGAAAGTGGTCACTTGGCCCCACCTCCTCTAATCCTGCTGCCCTTGACTCCTCAAAAGCCTCTTGCTGGGGGGGCTGTCCGCCATACATTGCCCCTCCAGGTGGGAACAGTCCCTCAGGCCCCTGAGGCTGTTCCTCTGACACATCCGGCTCCTCATCAGAAATCACAATAGCTTCTACTTTCACCTGGACCAGTTCAGCTTCCGCTGGGGCTGGAGCCTGGGACGGAACTGGGACTGGGGCTGCAGCCGAAGCTGGGGGATAAAAGCCTTGCGATGGTGCTCCAGTGCCCCTTGGCTCCGTCACCCTCACACTCTCAGAACCCCCATCAAGGGGAGCCAGTGGCTCCACTGAAACTGCTGGGAGGCCAGAAGAGAAGTAGTTTGCAGGAATGTTCTCTGTGGAGCTACTGGGGCTGGCAAGGGAGATGTCAGCCACTGGTGGAGGAGGTGCCCGCAGGTGCAGTGAGTCAACCTCCACTCCAGGCTGGGTAGTGTCAGCCCCACCAGGCACTGGTGGCTCATCTGGAGGACATACAGTAGGTGAGGGAGCCGCAGGTCCTTTCCATTCCCCTTTGGCCCAGTGGCCTGATGTCTCAGCAGATGCCACAGAAGGCTGAGGGCCCCGGGAAGTGTTGGACAAAAACTCCACACTAGGGGCCTGTGAGCTGGTTTCCTCCTCCTTCTTGGTACTGTCTGCCTCTGCCAGGGCCCGCGCCTGCAGCCGCCGCTTACACACCTTGACGATATCATTCATGTGCAAGTAGCTGGCTGCTGCCAGCACGTCTTCCACAGGGGTATCCCCTCTCAGGACCAGCTGGCCAGCGTACATAAAGTCCAGAAGCAGCCCAAAGGCCGGGGCCGTGACAATCTCGTTGTGGATGCACACCAGATCTCTCTTGTCCAGCTCCCGCTCTTTGTAGAAAAGCTGGAAGAACGGGCTGCAGGAGGCCAGCACAGCCCGATGGGCCAAGAATTGGGTGCTACCCACCATCACGGTGCAGTCACAAAGAAAACCCTGGGACCGCTGTTCGCGAAGGCTCTGCAGCAGCTGCTGGCTGTGTTCTGGGAACTCCATAGCACCCCACAGAGGGAAATCCCCCACAAAGATCCCCACCAGTGGTTCCCTGGGAAGAAAGGACAGTGGGTTAGGGCACATAACCTCCCCAGAAACCTTAACGATAGCCCTGAGCTCTGACGGGCCATCCCCAAATGTCTGAAAACACTGCCCTGACCCCAAGACGCTCGCTTAAATTACTATCGTTTTCTCCCAGGTCACAACCAGTGGTTTCCTTTAGCCCCGCCCCCACACTTAACCTTAGCAGCAGGCCCCGCCCAGTTAACGATAAACCCGCCCCGGAAGTCCCGCCCCCTAGCCAGCCTCCGCTTCCTGGAAGCCCACCCAGTGGCTTCCAGCTGCTCCTCCAACTAGGAATCTCTTTCGCTCCCAGGCCTTCCCGGGTGGTACCTCTACGCCCCACTCCGGGAACTCCCTGAGCCTCTCTCTCTCTCTCTCTCGCATTCCAGGGGTTAAGGAGTCCTAGGGTGGAAACTAGAAGAGAGAGCTGATCCTTCACCCACCACCGAGCAGCCACTGGGCGGACTCCGCCCCTTCCCACCTTCTTAGATGTAACAGGAGCAAGTTTGCCTTCTCTTGTCACGGATTGGTTCACTGTCCACTAACCATCCTCCCTCTTTGAGCGGCGTTTCCAAGTGGGTGCTGGTGTCCGTCGCTCAGGCAGCTAGGCTCTGGATTGGTTGGCATTCCTGTCTTAAACTTTAATTCCTCGTCCCTCCTTCTTTGCTTCAGAGGCCTCTGGATTGGCTGAGCTTGTCCATCTACCTGAAGCAGGGACTCGGCTTTAGGGACCAGGGCGCGGCGAGCTTTCGAGCCAGCGCCCGGACCTCCACTTTGCAGACTATTGTGTTGCGTCAGCTGCAGGGTGGCGGGGAGCAAAAGAGCCAACAAGCTCGTGTGGCACTCAGGAGTCCCCTATTTTTAGACCCTGCTCTGCCGTAACCGGGAGCAATAGCAACACCTCTTTGAACTGTAATGGTCTCTCTCTGTCCCTCTCTCACTCTCAAACTGTGACTGCCTCTTTAATGTTCGTTACTGCTTCGTTCCCCTCAGTCTGACGGTTCGGGCTCGTGACTCAGTAATGGTGGTGTCAGAGAACTAGCAGCTGCGTGAATGCTGTCATAGTCCCTAGCCTGAACTCTATAGTCAACGTACAATAAAGAGATTCCAGTACCCTCCTCTGTCTTGGAGCATACTGAGCAGGAGCTGATAGGAAGGGAGAGAGCGGGCTCAAGGCCCTAAAATACCCCAGGATGGGAGAATAAAGAGCATGTATACTTTCGAAGAAATCTTTGGGAGTCCCTAGACAATCGAAGAAAAGGGCTGTAAATTGAGAGTTAATGAAACCTGCGTCTTCTCTGACCAGAGCAATGTGTTGACAGGGTTACCAGGGGATTTGATTCAGTGCCTATAACCCGCTATTGACCCCTTCACCCACCACACTAAGCACTAAGCAACCTCCACTTTGTCTGCAGCCAAACCTTCCAATCAGACCTAACCAGAATCAGGGGCAGTTCATCCACCGTCCACCCTTGTACTAGAGACATGCCGGATACACTGGCCTCGGCTTGAGACCCCAGCTCTCCAAGATGTTTTTCCAAGCCATACAATATTTATTGTGTAGGAATTAAAACTAATATAAGTAACATTTTTATGAAAAATTATTTTTTAAAGATTTTATTTATTTTTAGAGAGGGAAGGGAGGGAGAGAGAGAGAAACATCAATGTATGGTTGCTGGGGGCCATGGCCTGCAACCCAAGCATGTACCCTGACTGGGAATCGAACCTGCGACACTTTGGTTCACAGCCTGAGCTCAATACACTGAGCAACGCCAGCCAGGGCTTGAAAAATTATTTTTTAAATGTAGTGAAAATATGACATTGTTTTATATTTTTCCAAATTTCTTTAATGTCTGGCTTAATAGAAGAGAGTGAGCTTCTGTTTTCAAGCCATTATGAGATACTGTTTTGATTACATAAGCAAAATCTGGCCTCACACTGGTGGGTAAGCATGGGATTTATTGGCCACAGTGAGGAGTTTGTATTTTATTCTTAGTGTATTGGAAGTCATTAGTGGGTTTTAAGGAAGAAAGTGTTCTAATATGATCGCTTTTATTTTTATTTTTTTTTAAAGATTTTATTTATTTAGAGAGAGGGGGAGGGAGAAAGAGAGGGAGGGAAACATCAATGTGTGGTTGCCACTCATGCACCACCTACTGGGGACCTGGCCTACAACCCAGGTATGTGCCCTGACTGGGAAGGAACTGTGACCCTTTGGTTTACAGGCCGGCACTCTATCCACTGAGCCACACCAGCCAGGGCTGGATCTAGATATTTAAAATTACAGTTCTTTTAACCTCTGTGCAAATCTGAGAAAGGTATTCCCTCTCTGGTCAATGCACCCTAGTGGCCACCACATCTTAATAAAACAAGTGTGCCCTGGTTTAGACCTGTCTCACCCCCAGGAGCACCATTCAGCAAGGCACAACTTGGTGGCTTTGCCTCTCAAAGCTGGGTCATCCAGAGCTACAGGATGCCAGGAGGCACATCTTTCTAGAGTATCATTCAGTCAGTTAGATCTTTTTCTTTTGTATAAAAGCTTTTATTTAGGAAATAGAGGTATTAACAACAGAGGGATGACTAGGATGGGGCTACTTGAGCCAGGGCAGTCATAGAAGCCCTCTTGACAGCGAGGATATTGAATTTATATGCCTGAAGGTTGAGAAGCACCCTCTCCCACCCGCCCCCGCCCTACCAGTTGAAGATCAGAGCTTAGAGCATTTGAAGCAGGGAAAATAGCAACAGCATGGGTCCTGAGGTGAGAGAGGAGGCCAATGTGACCGGAGTGGAGAAAGCCAGAGGGAGAGAGGCAGAAAATGGAGTTGGCTGGATCTGGCCTCTGCCTGGTGGGCCATGGTGATGATTTCATTCTAGTGCCTAGGGAAGCCATTGGATTCTAAAGTAGGGAGTGACGTGGTGTGACGAGTTTTGAAAAGATCACTCTTGGCAAATATGCACATGAAAAGGTGTTCAACGTCATTAGTCATTGCGGAAATGAAAATTATTATAACCATAATGAGATACTACTACACAGGTATTAAAATGGCTAAACAAAACCAACAAGAAAACCCTGCTGAAAATACCAAGTGATGCAGAGGATATCACAGCAATGGAACGCTTATACCTACACATACAGTTATATGATTAGGGAGTGATTAGCTTCAAGTATTTATCACTAATGGTTTTGACTCCAATTATAATGTTTTCCCCGCTCCCCCGCGCACACATCCAAACAATTCTCATACACTATCTGGGGGTCCTTCAATTTAACTGAATTCTGATATTATCTACCTGGGAGTTTACATGAATGCACTCTGCTAAGGCGCGTTATTTATGCCACCTTTCATCAATTCCGTTTAAAAGTACTAATTGAGCATCTATTCCGGGCACGGTTAATTTAAGAGAACCGGCAGTTGGACAGCAGGTCTGCGGGGATGGGCGGGGCTTCACGGAGTCTCCGCCTACGACGCCGTTCCATCCGGAAACTGGTTTGGGGCGGCGCGTGTGTTTCCGGTCGCGCGGGAGGCGTTCCTGCCTGGAGAGGTGTAGGTTTAGCGGCTTTCCTAACTCGTTTGGGAAGATGTTCTACCACGTGAGCAGGGCACCGGGTGGCGGAGGGCTAGGTCAAGAGGAGAAGAGAGGTGGGGTGCCTGGACCAGGGGCCGCTTCTTGCCCCGTCTTCCTGCTGTGCCTCGCCTGGTCTCCATCCCACTTTCTCCGCAGATCTCCCTGGAGCACGAGATCCTGCTGCACCCGCGCTACTTCGGCCCCAACCTGCTCAACACGGTGAAGCAGAAGCTGTTCACCGAGGTGGAGGGGACCTGCACTGGCAAGTGAGTGCCGCACTCTGTGCCGCCTGATCAATAATAAGCATACGGCACCCTATGTTACAGCCCCTTCCCAACTCCTACTCATTATGCCAAGTCCTGACACCTATTCTGGGGAACCCTCTCACACACTCCTAGGCGCCCCATGCAGTCCGTTGCTTCCTGCTTTGGGTTCCCATGGCGCCCTCTGCAAAGCTGAATCACAAGACTCTGTCCCATCAGCTGAGATTGGTCATCATTTGCTCCGCAAACGTTTCTAAAGCTCCAGTTGTGCGTCCGCTCCTGTGTCGGTCGCTGGGAACGATACAGTGAGAGACAGAATGAGGCCAGCCCTTGTGGGGCTCACAGTCTGATCACTGTGCGAGTGTCTGCTCTCCGTCTGTGATTCTGCTGGTTTTCTCTATCCCCCATGCCCAGGGACCTGCGGTGGCCCATCTCTGGGCTCTGCACGGAGCGGACTCGCACATGGTGACGTCCATGAGCTGGGATGAGCAGAGGGCTGTGGAGTACTTGCCCTCCATCATTAGGATAACCTGGGGTGTTTCTTGAACATGCAGGTTCCTGAGCCTCGTCCTATCACTACATAATCTTGACTCTCTGGGAGCATGCCTGGGAATCTGCATTTTAATACATCCCACGTGATTCTGAGGGTCTCTTGGCTCAAGGACTGCAGCGTTCTTGGACATTTATTGTGAAATTATGAGAGCAGTGTTTGGCATGACAGATGCTGATCAGTGTCCTGTCTTCTTTCTTGGTCATTAAGCTTTCTGGGAGCAGGGGTACCGTCTCCTGTTTGTGCTGTCCCCCTGCCCCCAGGCTCACTGACTCTTGCTGCAGAGTCTAGAGGCTCTTTTCACACCCAGTGCCTTTCTCTTTGTCATCCTCCTCGCAGGTATGGCTTTGTAATTGCTGTCACCACCATCGACAATATTGGTGCTGGTGTGATCCAGCCAGGCCGAGGCTTTGTCCTTTATCCAGTTAAGTACAAGGCCATTGTTTTCCGGCCCTTTAAAGGGGAAGTCGTGGATGCTGTTGTCACTCAGGTCAACAAGGTGAGACCAAACGTAGGGGAGGCAGTGGGGTGGTCCCTCAGAAGATGTGGTATGGGTCCCAGCTTCATTTGCTGATGGTGTGTCCTTGGCCAAGCCACCTCCCTGTGCTTCAGAGTTCTCACCTGTCAGATGGTGTGGCCTCACCCTACCTCACTCGGGGGCATATATGTTAGTATGAAGACTCATAATAATGGTAGCCTCCACCAATTGAGTAGTTACTGTGGGCCAGGTAATGTGAAAAGCCTCACAGTGACTCTGGGAGGTGGGTGCTTTTCTCTTTTTTTTTTTTTTAAGATTTTATTTATTTATTTTTAGAGAGGGAAGCAAGGGAGAAAGAGAGAGAGAGAGAAACATCAATGTGCGGTTGCTGGGGGCCGTGGCCTGCAACCCAGGCATATGCCTTGACTGGGAATCAAACCTGCGATGCTTTGGTTTGCAGCCCGCCCTCAATCCACTGAGCTACACCAGCCAGGGCTCTTTTATCTCTTTATAGAAGCTTAAGCTTAGAGAATTGAAGTCTAGTGGCCAAGGCCATGTGACCAACAAGGGTTCAGGCCCTGGACAGACAAGTTCCAGGCCTCAGCTCTTCACTACTGTACTATATCTGCTTAACTTAAAATGAAGCCTTGAAAAAAAGATGAGAACAAATGCTACAATTCTGATTGGTTTCAAAACATGGAGAATTGATTAGGAATTAGGTAAACATGGGAAGCTTAGAAGGCTTTGGCGACAAGAGAAAAAGCCAGGATCACTCGTTTTCCTTCTAGGTTGGACTCTTCACAGAGATCGGACCTATGTCCTGCTTTATCTCTCGGCATGTAAGTCTGGGCATGCTCAGTGGGGCGAAGGAGAGACATGGGTTCATGACCACCTAGCGGAGCATCCATTTAAAGTGCTGACCCCATCCCGCTTCCTTTTCAGTCCATCCCATCAGAGATGGAGTTTGACCCTAACTCCAACCCGCCGTGTTACAAGACAATGGATGAGGTGAGTGGGTAGGGAGAAGTCGGTGCGAGAAAGCAGGGAATGAGCCACTCTGAGGGGGAGTACTGGCTGGGGGGCCACCTGAGATACCGTTCCCTTCTCCTCCAGGACATTGTGATCCAGCAGGATGATGAGATCCGTTTGAAGATTGTGGGGACCCGTGTGGATAAGAATGACATCGTGAGTCTTTTGCCTGCCTCCCTCCCAGTACTAGGCAGAGCCTGGAGCTATTGGTTTCTTGCCACCTAGACATCATGAGGTTTTTGTGCTCCTCTGCCATGAAGAGGGGATGGGTGGGCGGAGGGCCTGGGCCTGGGAAGGTTAGGGGGTAGCTCTGTGCTCACTTAGGCTTCATTCCCTTTTTTGCCTTCCCTCCTACAGTTTGCTATCGGCTCCCTGATGGATGATTACTTGGGTGAGTGCCTGACTGTGCACGCCAGGGTGTTTGCCTGGGGAAGGGCTGTGTGGGTCCAGGGGTGGAGATGGGATTTAATGCTTGAGTCACCGATGAAGGAAACTGTCGAGCCGTCTGCCTGGCAGATCCAGGACACGTGCCCTTTGGGGTGGGAGGTGCACTGTTTCGGCTGCTCTGAGCTCTGTGTGTAACTCATGTGCATTTCCTCTTCTCCTAGGGCTCGTGAGCTGAACACCAGGGCCTCCTACCTTGTTTGGTCCTTGTCTAGGAGGTGTGATTGTCGCATTTCCCACGTTGTCCAGAGGCCCGGTCTGGCTGCTGTTGGGGCAGGGGGTGGGACAAGGAAGGTTCCTTGTCCCAGAAGGCATTGGCTCTTATAGTTTAGCCACCACTCGCAGATGTTGACTGTGCATTCTAACAATAAAAAGCTCTTGGTTCTCATGGGAGTGTTATCTTCTTTCTTTGGTAAGAACGGCTCTTTTTCAAAAGGCGGGGGTGCAGCTGCTCACTAAACCCTCTTTGCTTGGTCTGATGCCTCGGCCCCGCAGAGGATATGACTAACCCTTATGCGAGGGTCTAAAGTCGACCTCATTGACAAGAAGGCACTGATGTTGCATCTCTGGCTTCCAGCAAGTGATATTATCATTAGAGCCACTCTGAGCGCCAGTCCAGTTTCCTAGTATTTTCCCTTCCCTCGCCCTTAAAAATAACCGAGAGTACAGCTGGAGAGAGGTGAATGAGAGGATAGTAATAACACAGGCTGCAGGGTCCCAACACCGCCCTTCCTAGGATGGGTACATAAACACCAGAGGCCTTTCTGTGCTGAGCAATCACTGTACTAAACTCAGCCAAAGGTGTGAAATGGCTCATAATCTCCTTCGGGGAACACTAGAAAAATACGTGAAATGACTACAAAATATTAAACACCACCCTCCCTCACACTCTGCCTTTGCAATGCTGTTCGTCTACCTTGGCGTGCCTTTTCCCAGCCTGCCCGCTCACTGCCTGATCTGGCACATCTTGGTCGGTCCCTTCTTTTCATTTGCAGCTTTCCTTGACTTGCTTGGGAAGCAGCGCTGTGCAGTGGGAAGCCCTGTATTTGGACTGACACAGAACACCTGGCTTTGGCCCCAGCCAGGTGGCTTAAGTTTTTTCATTGTGTAATGGGCTTACCACCTTCTTTGGGTGGTTGCCGCTCCCGGCAGAGATCATACAGCAGGTCCTTGAGTCATGTCGTTTCTTTCAACATTGTTCTGTTCAGCATTGTTTCACTATAACATTGATGAGGTTCCTTAGCAACGTACTTTCATGTCAGTCTGTCCTAACATTGGTTTCCTTAGATGTCATTTTACTTAAAGAACCTACCAACCACATTCAATGAGGACTTAATATAATGCAAGTGGCTGGCACAGAGCCTGGTCCAGGATGAGCATTCAACTCGGTCATAATTACTATTAGACAATGCCTGTAAAGCAATGGCAATCATCCAAGGTGATTTTGGCCCCCAGGGGATGTTTGGTGGTGACATTTTTGGATGTAGCAAGTGGGTAGGGGTGTTACTGCCTTCTAGTGCGTCTAGGCCAAGGACGCTGCTGAACATCGCATAGTGTATAGTGCAGTCCTCCACAGTAAAGAATTATTTGGCCTCTGATGTGAGTTGTGCCAAGTTCCAGAGACCCTGATAGGAAGCATCTAGAACAGGGCCCGGGACACGGTGAGAATGTGGTTCTGTTCACCTTGCCTTCTCAACTCCCGGCCCACTAGAAGCTGTTCCAGTCATACCTCTGGAGTGGGTCAGGAAACATTCTTTTGTTACTGTCTCCCTTTTTGTTTTTTAATTATTAAAGTTTCACCCTGGCTGGTGTAGCTCAGTGGATTGAGTGCGGGCTGCGAACCAAAGCATCGCAGGTTCGATTCCCAGTCAGGACACTTGCCTGGGTTGCAGGCCACGGCCCCCAGCAACCGCACATTGGTGTCTCTCTCTCTCTCTCTTTCTCCCTCCCTTCCCTCTATAAAAATAAATAAATAAATAACATCTTTTTTAAAAAGTTTAGAGCCCTGGCTGGCGTAGCTCAGTGGATTGAGCACAGGCTGCGAACCAAAGTGTCACAGGTTCGATTCCCAATCAGGGCATATGCCTGGGTTGCAGGCCATGACCCCCAGCAACCGCTCATTGATGTTTCTCTCTCTCTCTTTCTCCCTCCCTTCCCTCTCTAAAAATAAATAAGTAAAATTTTTAAAAAATTTCAATTATTTTGTTGAGATAATTATAGATTCACATGCTTCCCTTTCATTTTTGTACCCCCAGCTCTCAGCACTGTGCCAGCTTTCCAAGTTTGTTAAGAGCCAGGAAAGTTACTGTGCTGCATTTGGAATGAATTTGCTAGTGGAAACTGTTAAAGTTGTGGTGCCACATACTGTGAGTTGGTTACACAGGTTGCAGGGATTTTCTCTAGACCCTAGATACCCTATGTCTCACTGAGAATAAAATTCTTCCCAAGTTTGCAAATGGGTCCACCCACCCATAATTTGCATCAGGGTTAACCTGGAAGTAACGTCAGGCCTAGAAGTGAGAGGCCGACGGACAGAGAAGCAGCTCATGGCACAGGAGCAGGAGGGTGCTGCTAAGGACATGGCGTGCAGCCCCCACCAAGAAGGCTGGTCCTGTGTGGGGGAGGGCCTGGGGTGGGGCCTGGCCTGGAGATGGTCTCCAGGACCCTTCTGCGCCTTTACAGTTGGATACTGGGCAGTTAAACAGGTGTTAGATCACAGGTCAGCAGTAACAGGAGTGTCTGCCGGGCAGCATGCTGAATCCTTCATACATCTTTGCACACATTACCAAATTTTTGCAAGCCATGAAGTAGGTTTCGTTATCCCATCTTGTGGTTGATGCAGACAGGTCAGGGAAGTGAACTAACATGGCTAAGGTCACATAGCTAGTGGGTAGTGGGGCTTTGATCGTTATTTATTCATTTACTTACCTGTCTTGTCCCACTCCAAAGCCATCATAGCTCCCGTCAGACACTGAGTGGCTGGGAAGTGAGGGGGAGCCACCTTTCTCCTCTTTGTAGCGTGCTTCCTGTAACTACTGCTTTTCCCTGGCCCCTGCCTCCACTCAGGTTGGGGGCAAATGAGCCCCAGACAGTTTGGATAGTTTCACAACATTCCACAGGCCTCTCGGCCTTACTCCTTTGATTGTCTCAGGCCTCCAAGGTTGCCAAAGGCCATCCATATCAATGACATTTTAGCAAGGAGATCTACCAGCAGCCCAGGTTCCACTGAGCTGATCTCAGACCCAGGACCTCAGTCCTTCCCCTCGTGCAGAGGTGCACGGACACCCCAGCGTTCAAGCACGATACTAAAACTACCAAACGCCATTCTGAACGTGATTGGAAAATACTCAGCAGGGTCACAGGCTCCTTGGGTTGTGTTACCATGGCAACTCCAATCGTATCCATCTGGCTTTCCAACTCTGGTCTCCGAGGATGTTTTCTAGAGGCAGCAGCATCTGCCCTGAGAAGGAGGAAGAGTGAGGTTATTGCATCCGTGCCCACTCCCCTGCAGAAAGCTCCGTTCTATAAAGAATGGCCCGTGTGAACTATCCCACCTTGGATGGACATAAAGGAATTAATTTACTGTCTGCCTCATGATGCATGAGTGAACGTTCAAGCACCAACCCTGCAAAGTGCTTTCACAGACATCTCAGTCTGCAGTAACTGTGATGGGCATTATTACCCGGCTTGGAGATGGGGGAGGGAAACGTGGTTAGGTAATTTGCCCCAAAGCGGTATTAGAATTTGAACCCGGCTTGGTCTGACTCCAAATATCATCCTTTACTTAATAAGACCGCTTGTTTCTCAATTGAGAATTGCCCAAATTTGGGGAAACGTGTGCGTGTAAAACCACCAAAGAAGTCTGCGAGGTAGGTGCGGGCTTATATATGGCTTCTTGGACAGAGATACAAGGTGGGGTATCCGGATGAGCAGAGCCCTGGAGTCTGGAGCTTGCACGTGGGTTTGGTCAAGTCTGAAGACCCTTCTGCCCCAGAGAACGCCTACCAGGAGCCTCATCCATTCCTTGGGAAGGGTAAGCAGCAGGTGATATGGAAGAGGTAAATTGAGCTCCACTAAGCGGGCAGGAAAAACTAAGCCACACACCAAAGTCTAAAGTTTTGCTACAGTTGCATAAATGCAAGTGCTCGGAAACTCAGGTGCAGACAAGACCATGGGAATGGGGACGCCTTCCTTGAGGACACGGTTACTAAAACGTACACCAAACCATACACATCTACTCCCCGAACTCCCAAGAACTGTTGCTTTAAGAAGTACGACTCTTTAGGATCACGTGACCCCCCAGGCGCCTAGATCTTTCACGGCACCTTCACAGTGACCAATCGCAGGGCTGGGAGCCCCCTGGGGGGCGGGAACTTCGCAAGGTGCTAGCGGATTGGATGTGCTTGTGGAGTGCGGCGCCTGAGGGCTGAGAGAGGGAATTAGTGTGAACCGGCTGTGGGGGAGCAGCTGCTGCCGCTGTCGCCGCTGCCTCGCTGCCTCGGTAGCCACCTTCGGCTGCCGGAGCCTTCAGGTGAGCAGGCCCAAGAACTCCCCGTCCTGCTGCGCACTGTGCACTCCGACCCGCCTTAGATCCCGCAGCGCCGGGTGCCCGCCCCTTTCGCTGACCACGTGACCCAAGTTCGGTAACCCTTGACCTCCTGCACCCCACCACCGCAGGATCTAGGATGAGTGAAGCTGGGTGGGAGGATGCGCAGCACCGCGGCTGGTAGAGGTCAGTTCCCACGCTTCCTTACCAATGTCGCTAGTGACCGAGGATGCCGAGGAGAGGTTGAGGGGTGGGAGATCTTGGTCCGAGGCCGGACTTTGTGGGTCTTAATGTGGGTGCAAAATAGGGAAACTCCCTCCACGCCCTCGCGGCGCAGGACCCGTGCTCCCATTTCACAGATGGGGAGACAGAGACTTAACAGTTCTGTACTGGCGGGTCCCCCAGCGCCAGATATTTCGCACTGGGAATTCAGGCCTTGTTCCCCACACAGCCCGCCACTCCTGACGATTAAGAACAAGGGTTTGAGTCCCTCCTCCTTATTTGATCGCTGGATGATCTTGGACAAGTCCTTTTAACATTTTCTCTCTCGGAGATATAATTTTCTTGGCTGTGAAACAGACACAATGCTTACATAATACCCATCTCTTTGTTAACAAGGGTAAAATGCGGTATGCGCACTTAGGTCAGTGCCTCAGGCATGGCATGTGCTTGGAAAAATAGCTTTTCTTTATTCCTTTTTTCAGCAAGTGTTTCTTGAGGGCGTATGATGTGCTGACACTGTGGCTGACGCTGCTAGGGATGCAAAGGTGAGCAAACAGGCCTGATCCTTGCTGGCTTGGAGCTGACAATCTAGTGGGGAGGTGGGCGCTAATCAGAAAGTT